TCCAACTCGTCCATGCTGATTGGGGAAGTAAATTTCCTATAAAGTGTGTCGTTCATGATTTTCAAACCGCGAACAACGATTGAACTAGACAAATTAATTAGCCTGACGGGGTCGATAGTTGCTGAGTCTTTCACAAATACCTGGAGTTTTTGGCCATTAGGGGCGAGAATTCGCGACACATAGCCATTGTTCCAAAATAATTGGTGGCTAGTGTTTCCTTTGCCTCATCTGCCAGCGTTGGTCCCTGAAGAGTGCCAACCATTAGGCAAACACGTTGCATAAGCAAACCGCTGGCGCGATTCCCGCATTGTTTATCAGGATGCCAATGCCTTCGGAGTAGGTTTCCTGCACATGCCTTCTCAGCCGCTGCCTGCTTTGCGGGTCTGTGATATCAAGTTGATGGAAGTAGACAGAGAGGCCCTGGTCGCGCAACCCATCGACTGCCACCCTACCCAATTTCTCATTCCGAGCTTGGAGGGAGGTGGATAAAAGAAAAAGAAATCAGGATCTACCAGTCAGATAGACGTGCCATTCGGAGGAGTCGCCAAAATGTCGTGCCAGGGTTTCCACAATTCCATGTCCAATGCCCTTATTTGCACCTGTAACCTGTAGGATCGAACAGAAAACAGATAATTTTGCATAGAGTCTCAACGACTTGCAAAACGTCCAGGTTTACTAATGCAGGTAGCACTACAATAGCCTCGCGTGGTTTGAGCCACCAAACCCTACAATTTACTATGCAAGCCGACAAGAGATTTTATGCAGCTAGTAAATGTTTTTGCGCAACCGTTATTACGCATTTTTGGGGAAATCAGCATAACGGAAAGCCAGGAAAAGTAAGATCGCTTGCAAACGCGACGTAATGGCATGTAGATGCGAAAAGACTAACGGCTGGATGGAGTGCACCGATTATCCACTTAGTGGGTTCCTAAAATACGTAATGCTTCGATAAATTTGGAAGCTAATGAACATACGGCTACTCTTTGAATTAGTGAACTGTTCGGCCATTCCACAACGAATGCTGAGAATTCGATTAGCAGGTCTTAGTGAAGTATGACACGCTAGTCTCACACCTATTTGACAATAATTCAACCAATCTCTATCAACAAAGCAATTCAAAACCTGTCGTTCTATTTTCTAAGCACCAAGGTTGGCATTTCGTAAGTTTTAAGTAGCCGATTAAGTAAAACGTGATAATTTCGGTATTGTGCTCACAATGTTCAAATGATGACGACTGGGCGCTTCATCGAAACGCGAGTTTTACTGTTACTAAGACGTGCTCGAGTCCTTCATGTAAAGAAATACTGACGGGATTAAGGCGACAATAGCAGCGCACAGAGGCAGCATAATGTTCGATATCTGCATCGGTGATGACATCTGAGTTTGTCACCAAAACCAGATCCGACGGCAACAGTGCAGTAACACAACTGGGCACAAATCAGGTGTATCATACACACACACACTCTCTCTCTCAACATCTTGCTAGACACTATTGTCATTCCCACAGAGCAGTCAGTCCTCGAACCCAATGCCGCACCCCCTTCAGATGTACCGCTTTCGGTATAGGTTTCTAGCCACTATAGACCGCGAACGGCCTTCAATGCGCCGGGCAAGCCATGTTCGCCGAGCAACGCAGCCCACAGGGATCAATCCACGCCATAAGATGTACGGACCTATTTGAAAGGGAGATGTCGGAAATGCCTCTATTCTGATTATTAGTCATTTCACAGAAAGGCGCCTGCGTGCGCCGCCACGTTGCCTGAAATGACGGCGTGCGCCTGCAATGTGACCACAGATCTCTCATCAGATCTGATTGGTCCATGCCTGTGATACATTGTCCGACACGTTCTTATTAAGTGGATTAACAATACCCGCAGCCTTTTGAGAATGACTTGCTATTTGTGAATAGAGCTCTCCCCGCGGTCGATTGCCTTCTCTTCCATTCCCC